GCAGAGCCATCCGTGTGCGATGATGGTTGTGGTGGGACAGCACGAGTTCGAAGGAGGGAGCGAAGAGCGAGGCGCAGGATGGGGACGCGCCGCTCCGTTCGTTTTCTCAGGAGCCCGTGGGGAATATACATCCGGCGGGGATGTGGCAGACGCACAAGGCGCTCTCGACGTGGAACTTTCCACCACGCTTTGCCGGAGCACAGTATCACCCTACAAACCGGGCATCTTTACGTTCTCGTCGTCCCGTACAGCGACCTCGTGTATCCGGTTTCTACTCGCCTGACCCCGATCCGCGGCAGTATAGCGATCGAGATAGTACAATCGCGCACTTCAGGGCGGGCGCGGGAAATGTCCATGGATGAATGTTTGCGCGCCGCCACATCGCGCTGCGGCTTGCTACGAACGATGATATTGCTGTAGGCTGCGACGTCTGATCCCCTTTCGCGTATTGACAAGATGCTCCTATACGTGACGACGTACACGAAACTGGACCTGCTGGATAATCCAGACATCACTCGTTACATGACTCAGAGCGTCTTCGACATGCCACAGACCCGCGCATTTCCCCGTACGTCGCGCAGCTTCGCGAGCACCGTGCCACCGTGATGTCCCAGCTTACGGCAGTATTCCATCACAGAATAAGTATCAGCTGTCATTTGTCTGGCTCTAGACTCTACCGATTCGTAATCTACACTTTCATCCTAACATACGAGGTCTTGAACCCGGTTCCTTTGGTGCCCTCGCACTCGCGCTCTCAATTGTCAGGCTTCAGTTACGATTCAGTGCTGCAGTACGTGCGCGCATATATGGCCTCTACTTATACGGAAGCATCCGCTTCGAGTGGTTGGGCGAAGCGATAACTACCAAAGTGACCTGTACGAGCTCGATGGTGAGAATACGTAAATCACAGAGCAGAGGCGCGAACATACTACATCAATGGTTCGGGTTCGCTTGCGCTTGCGTGAAAACGCGGTGCCGATTGCCGTAGTAGTTACGGAACCGGCGATCCACCTTCTACAAGAAACATTAGCTCTTCCCTTGACGGTGAGCGACTGTGAATAGAATACCTGGCGATATAGTCTCTCGTGGCGCTCGTCGAGGTCTTTCGGGAGAAAGGAAGTCTGGTCGAATAACATCGCCTTCCGCAGCTCTACCCACGCCCTGACTGCAACATAGCCACCCTCGAAGAGAGGGTCCATCTCAACGATGACAGGTTGAAATTCCTCCTCGAGAATAGCAGTAAGAACGCTATTTTGCGATGCATTCAGCCTGAAGTCTGTGTGGGCCATGGCGACAGTGCGAGTAGATAGAACTCAGGTGAAAATGGGGGTTTGGATGAAAAGGGCTTGAAAGAAACGCATCCCCGTCTTTTATTGGAGATGAACTCGGAGCACGTGTGTGTTATACCCCGGGTGCGCTCCCTCGCCTTGAGTACCTATGTCGCTCATCAGTAAGACCATTCTGGGTTATCCGCGCGCATTCGGCGCTCAAAGGAGCCCACTGATCTGGCGAACCAAATCGAGCGAGATGGCCGGCGGGGTCAAGGTTGGTATGCATGTTCTATCGGAGCCGGAGCAGATGCACACAAGAGAGAATGGGGTATTGATATGAAAGGCGGGCGCAAGGCGGGCGCACCAACGATAGCACCGAGGTGGCCGCTGGGCGCACTAAGTTTACAAACATAAGCCTAGGCACGTGGGAATTCTATCGAGACTCCCATAAGGCTTCGCAAACCTAGCCCAGACTTTCGTGCTCGTGTGCGCCATCATCAGACATGAGTCGTAATTAGTAAGGGCCCTGGTCTCCTCGAGCGAGGCTTCATTGTGTAACACGTGTGCTCCTGCCACCCAGGTCTGCGCCCGTTACACGTGGCTCGTGGATTCTTGCTCTTTCGCATCTTTCACGCCTCGTTGAGTCGGGACCAGAAGAACCTTCCTCCCTCGTACACTCCTCTGCACAAAACTTGCATTGCTGTAGCCGGAGAGGCGAATGGTGAGGAGGACGGCCTAGCGTCGCAGACAGGCGTGAGCTTCCGTATCGGCGTCAATCGGCGGTGAAGTGCAGAGAACTCCATCACTTTCTGGATGGATGCTATGATAGATCGGAGCAAAGGGAGCCCACAATCTGATCTACCAGAGAGATCGAATGGGAGTGTCTAAACTCTGGCTTGCATCCGCCTTATCAGCTCTTACCTCTACTCCTCCGGGTCTCCAGCAGTAGCAATGAGCGACTACAAGCCCAACCTCACCATTCGCGAGTTGATCGGCCCTCGAGATCACCCTACGCACAGTCAAGATTCTCGATTTTCATTCTGCGGTGGGCGCGACGTTTGCGGACTACCTCGGTGTCATCACGGCTGGCTAGCCATCCTGCGGCGCGACAGGACAGTATATGGGTGCGCGGGCCACGTCTTGCACGATACCAGAACGCAGCCAGATGGACTTGCCTGTGGGTTTTACATGAAGAGCGTTGATCATAGTACGGGATCCCCTTCGATTCTGCGCTCTGAGCCATGCTAAGGCCGTTCAAGCCACTCGTTTGCGGCTCAACACAAATTGCCCTCACGAGATCGACTGGGGTGCTGAGATTCCAGATAAAGTGCTCTTCACAGAGAGGGCCCGATGGCGTATGGGCTTAGAAGGAGCCATTGATCGGGCTGCTGATATATATCAAGCGCTCCATGACGGCGCCGAGTCTGCGAGTCTTCGACGTGCGCCCGAAGCTGCTGCTAGCAGCCTCCCAAAGACACCCAGAAAGTCGGGCTCCACAAAGCGTAGTACGCCAGGCTATTGTGCTAAAGGAACGTACATTTCTGATAGGCCTATAGCATCCGTATTCCCGACGACGCCGTCGCGTATCCTGACCAGCGAGCAAATCAGGAAAGCCATCCGCGCCCCTATCAGCGCAAAGGACGAGGAGGCGGGTCGTGTTTCGTCGCCTTCTTCTGCCCGTGCTTCTCGTCGACCCGGCTCCTCCACATCCAGCGCTTCTGAGTCGATCTAGGATATCCTGCGGGCCAGAGAATCAAATGGAGTGTTATTCAGATATACCCTCATGGTTTGTGGTCAGGGATCTAGCTCACTTCACTGCCTTGATGCGTTGTTTTCGGATTCTGCTTGATTTCAGCGTCTCAGGGATACTTGTAGTCGTTTCTTGTCTTGATCTTCTTGTATACACCTGTCGCAATGTATGCATACTGGAGCCTCAGAGCTACAATTCGTGCGGCAGGAACTGTTTGATGGAACTCTTTAACGAAATGTGCAAGGAAACAGTGGACGAACAGGCACACAGCATAACAGTCAAGTATCTTGGTCTTCCACATGATATGAGTTATTCAGGTACATCGCTGGACTGTCACCTACTACATTCAATCAGGGCAGCGTGATTGGGTAGCATGTATAACGAGTCGACGAGAGCAATGGGAATGAGTACGAACGGGAGCAAACATTAAGACAATGAGCAAAGCCGTGAGCACTAGGTTCAGTAAAAGCGGTGGGCGTTGTAGGGGGACCGCTACACTCCCATCATACCACATAGCCGTTCACCAACGTGTCCTTAGGACAGACCTCAGCGCGAGATGGATGCAAATGGCGCAGACGAGAGGGCAACCTTGGTTCCCTGATACCGGTGCTGCTGGTGAACTCTCTTGCCGCACACATGAGCACGCAGTCGTGGAGAACGTCGATAGCGCGACTCTCACCTGCTTCAACGGCGTCCACGATCATCACCACGGCCGCAAGGTGGCGTGGAGTGCTACCGCACCCGGACTCCGTGTAGCCGCTTCGAGAGCTTCGAGAAGATGTGTTTCAACTCGCGATGAAGATGTCCGGCCATATTCGCGCCGGCGATGTCTTCTGCAGCTCGCATTGCTCTTCTGAGCGATCGAAGGGCCAGAGGGCAAGCTCGGTCCTCTGATACCGGAGGTGCTACTGGCGAAGTCTCCTCTGACTCATACATTAGCGAGTACTCGTGGAGAGCGTCGATCGTCAGACTCTCACCTAGTTCAACGGCTTCCACGATCACCACGCCAAGCGGTTGGCGCTCCGCGCCACCGGATCCGGCGCCGAGAGGCTCGACTCGCCAACTTTGTATGGCCGCTTTGAGAGCCACCAGAGGGCGCGTTTCAGC